CATTTCATATTCTGATTTTGGTTGGTGTCCATTGCTAGAGAGCTGGTGTTCCCTTTTGGGGGTGACCTTTCACTATAATTCTACATATTTCTGGAGTTCTTTTGCTGATTCCTTCTCATCTGGAGCAGCTACTGCCTCTTATTTTTGGATTTTCTTTTGTTTAGGTAATGTCATGTCCAGTTTAACCTCCGAGATAGTAGGTGGTGCTTGTGGGTAAGATTCAACCACACCTTGTATGATTGAGCCAGAAAATGCTATAAAGGGTGTTCAAATTGACCTCCCTGTCAGTAGGTGGTGCTTGCCAGAAGGAATAAGTTGCAATGTTGTTTTAGGGCCCTGTTACTGCCTCTAGTCCCTCAGAAGAAGCACCTGAATGCCCCAGTTGGTGGGCGGTGTCTTAGAACTTCAGGTGAGTCCTAATTCTCTTCCACAGCAGAGGTGGATGGGGGAGTGTAGCTGGGCAAGGCTGGGTTGGGTGAGCTTGCCCTCAGGCTCCACAAAATCAGGCAAGGTATCAATGAAATTGAAGCAGCAATAGAAAAATCTTCCAACAAAAAATGTCCCAGACCAGATGGTTTCACAGCCAAATTTAAACTATCAAACAGAAAGTAAGAGAAATAAACTATCAACACAATTACCCTTTGATTAAAACATATGTGGCCTAACTTGTTATGTCTGAGTTATTTCTCAGCCTTGAAAAAGTTCCTGAGTGGACAGTAGGAGTGCAGACTTTCCCTGCTTCCTCAAGAAGAGATAGTACCAGATGCCTCCCAATATCAAGAAGAAAGAAGAAACTAATTTCTGCTATCAATCTGCCACATGAGAAACAGAAAAAGCCAACACAGCAGCTTCAAAGCCGCTTTTGTTATCAGTCCTCTGAAGCAGAGGGGGAAAAAAACCATTTCTACCCTTTAAAAGCACCAAGCAGCTTTCCTCAGCACCTGACATTTCTTTCCCCGCTCTGTGTGTTATGGCCACTCTCTCTCTTTCTCTCTCATTCTTTCTCAGGAAAATAAATAAACTTTTACTTTTGTGTATCCTATTCACTGTCTAAGAATTCTTTCTCCCCCTGCATGTGGACTTCACACCCTAACAGTACCCATTCTGCAGAGATTATTTCATAACATCAAGAAGGAAGTTCTACGAAGCCTGTATCACCTTGATACCAAAGCCAGGAAAGAACACGACAAAAAGAAAAAACCATGGACCAATACCCCTCATGAATATAGATGCAAATATCCTCAATAAAATTCTAGCAAACCGAATTCAGCAGCACATCAAAAAATAAATAAATAAAATAATCCACCATGACCAAGTGGGCTTCATCCTAGGGATGCAAGGATGGTTCAAAGTATGTAAATCCATAAATGTAATTTACCCATAAACAGAAGCAAAAACAAAGATCATATGATTATCTCAATAGATACAGAGAAAGCATTTGGTACAACTCAGTACCCTTTTATGATAAAAACTCTTAACAAAATAGGCCTAGATGGACCATACCTCAAAATTATAAATGTCATATATAACAAATCCACAACCAACATCATACTGAATGGGGAAAAGTTGAAAGCATTCCCACTCAGAACTAGAACAAGACAAGTATGCCCACTGTCACCACTTACATTCAACACAGTGCTAGAAGTCCCAGCCAGAGCAATTAGGCAAGAGAAGGAAATCAAGGGTATCCAAATGGGGAAAGAGGATGTCAAACTATCGCTCTTTGCTGACAATATGATCTTATATCTAGAATTCCACCCACAGATTCCACCAAGGGACTCCTGGAATTGATAAATAAATTCACCAAGTCTCAGGTTATAAAATCAATGTGCACAAATCAGTAGTATTCCTATACACAAACAACAGTCAAGCTGAGAATCAAATCAATGACTCGATACCTTTCACAACAGCTACAAAGAAAATAAAATACCTAGGAATATATTTAACCAAAAAAGTAAAAGATCTCTACAAAGAGAACTAAAAATAACTGAGGAAGGAAATTGCAGATGATGTAAACAAATGGAAAATCATGCTCATGGATCAGCAGAATCAACTTTGTTAAAATGTCTATACTACCCAAAGTGATTTACAGATTCAATTCAATCCCCATCAAAATACCAATGTTGTTTTTCACAGATCTAGAAAAAATAATTCTGCACTTCATTTGGAACCACAGAAGAATCCAAATAGCCAAAGCAACCCTGAGCAAAAGGAGCAAATGGGGAGGCATCATTTTACCAGACTTTAAGTTATACTACAAGGCTATGGTAACAAAAACAGCATGGTATTGGCACAAAAATAGAGACATAGACCAATGGAACAGAACAGAGAACCCAGATATAAAATCATCCATGTACTGCCATCTGATCTTTGACAAAGTAGACAGCAATATACA